AGATTTTCACTGCCCCTTCCCTTCCTGCAGCTCTGAGGTAAAGCTACCAACTGCCCCTCGGGGCTCAGCCAAAGAGGAAAAGAAAAGTGAAATTGCCTAACCAGCTGACGTAGATGCACCAACTCTACAGTCCTCCCTCCACCCAATCTCCATGACGTCCCTCAGTCAAGGGAGGAGGAGCAAAGCCAGCCCCACGAGGCCACAGAAGACGGGGTCACTTTTTCCTGCCAACGAAAGAGGGTTGTAAAGTCATTCAACTCAAGCAAGTCGAAGTTGTTTTGAGGTAAGATGCCTTCATGAGGAGGAAGTAAACTCCATATTTGTCCCTATCCCTTGCTGAGGTGGCTGAGAAGGACAAGTGAAGACCAGGCATTTCAAATCTTCAGTCAGGCTCCAGGGCTGGCCATGCACCTTAGTGAGCCTGGGCTGGATGGGTTAGGCCCAGTGATTGGACATGGGGCCAGAGAGAACTGAAATACCACACATTATAAAGTAGGGGAGATGCTCTTAGCACTCCATGAAAGCAGACAGAAGTAAAAGACAACTATCTCAACTCCTCCAACCAAATGCAAGTGCAGAGGTTGGGCAGAAAAGTGAGGTGCATTTCTAAGTTTTCTCAAATACGTGGGCACTTCACAACTGCAGTCAGGGGTGACTGGGAGAAAACTGAGCTTCAAGCATTTCACTGAAATCTTGAGGAAAGTGACAGCCTTCTCATTGGACGGGGAAATGGTTTGGAGCTGAGATTATCTAGACCCTCAAGGACAATATGATACAGGAGGATAGCTGTATTATATTTGTGTTTACACACAATTTTTCATTTATACCCCGCCCTCATTCTGTAAAGGATTTGAAACAATTTACAAAAACACACTATAGTAGCATAAAGTCCAGTGATAAACAAATGGAAGCAAAGGGCAAATATAAAAAATAAAACCACAGGACTAGAAATCCAGGCAGAAAAATGGATCAAAGACAGGGGGCTGATGAGAGCCAGGGTATGGGTAGAATCCAGGGCCAGTGACAGAGCAGTAGTGAGGATTAAAAAGCCAGAGGCAAAGCAGTATTTTTCCAAAAGATGTGCTCCCGAATGCTACTTTTTCTGGCTCATTACACATATGCAAGGAAATCTGCATACATAAGTTTGCAAATTATAGAGTGCAAGAAATTTCTACCCCTTTCTCACTTCTGCTTTCTTTCTACCAAAGGAACAAAGACCAATCTGGTCAGGACAGACTCCAGAACACTGATGAGGACACCTTTTCCAGTAGGCAGGGTCACTGTGCCTACCAGGTCTTGCATATGTCTGGATCTCTCTCTCTTACCCATGTTTGCTCATGACTCCCAAACTCCTGACTCTGAATGCTAATGGGGACATTCACTGTTTTTATGTCCAATTATGTCAGATAACCAATCCCAGATTGATCATATTTCCTTGAATATCTCTTGCCTATAATTCAACCTCTGGTACCCAACATTTTTATCAGTCAGGATTTGGGAGTAAAAATAATCCAAACCGACTCTGGCTAAAACTCAGGCAAAAAGTCAATTTCTTAGAACTATATTGGGTAGCTCACAGAATGTATGGGAAAGCCAGAGGACTAAGTTAAGAAAGTAGGCAGTCTAGGCAGGTTATATTAACTCACTTGTCCTTTGTTATAATATAGTTGAATGATATCTGGATCACCTGAACATCCCATAGAATGTCAGACTGGGCTGGGCATGGTGGCTCATGCCTGTAATCCCAGCTCTTTGGGAGGCCGAGGCAGGCAGATCATGAGGTCAGGAGATCAACACCATCCTGGCCAACATGGTGAAACCCCGTCTCTACTAAAAATACAAAAATTAGCCGGATATGGTGGTGTGCACCTGTAGTCCCAGCTACTCAGGAGGCTGAAGCAAGAGAATCGCTTGAACCTGGGAGGCAGAGGTTGCAGTGAGCCAAGATCACACCACAGCACTCTAGCCTGATGACAGAGCATGATTGTGTCTCAAAAAAAAAAAAAAAAAAAAAAAGAATGTCAGACTGATTGATGACACTGGTGACAACATGCTGATCAGACAGGATGAACAAGATCTTGGCGGCCAGCATACCAGCTAAAGAAGAATAAATTACTGACCCACAACAGCAGGGATGAATCTCAAAAGCATGATGATGAGGAAAAGAAAGTCATACACCAAAAGTGCATTCCATGTGCTTTCATTGAAAAAAAACAAAACAAACAAAAACACCTTAATACACACAAAACTAATCTGTGGTGACAGAAAGCAGATCAGTGGTTGCCTGGTGCTGGCCTTAAGGAGGGGATTATCTGCAAAGAACACAGGGAACTTTCTAGGGTAACAGAAATGGTGTGTATCTTTTTTTTTTTTTTTTTTTTTTTTTTTTTTGAGACAGGATCTCACTCTCTCACTGCTCACCAGACTGGACCTCCCGGGCTCATCTAGATGTGTATAAGAGACAGGCCTGGACCTCCCGGGCTCAAGCAATTCTCCCACTTCTGTCTCCCTGGTAGCGGGGACCACAGGTATGTACCACCATGCCCAATTAATTTTTAAAAATGTATTTTTGTAGAGATGAGGACTTGCTCTGTTGTCCAGGCTGGTCTCAAACACCTGGGCTCAAGCGATCCTCCTGCCTCGACCTCCCAAAATGCAGGGATAATAGGCGCAAGCGACTCTCCCAGCCTAGAAATGGTCTGCATCTTGACTGGTGTAGTACTTACATTTGGTAAACTGTACATTACAATGAATAAATTTTATACCTCAATAAACTGAAGCTAAAAAGAATTGTATATAATTTTAATAGATTCTCAGTACTTAATCACTAGCATGTGAATTAACAGGTGAGGTTTTCCCATTATTACCATATTGTCAAGCATGTTTTTTTTTTTGAGGCGGGGTCTGACTCTGTTGCCCAGGCTGGACTGCTGTGGTGCAGTCTCAGCTCACTGCAACCTCCAGCTCCTGAATTCAAGCGATTCTCATGCTTCAGCCTCCTGAGTAGCTCGTATTACAGGCATGTGCTGCCACGCCCAGCTAATTTTTTTGTGTTTTTAGTAGAGATGGGATTTTGCCATGTTGGCAAGGCTGGTCTTGAATTCCTGGCCTCAAGTGATCTGCCTGCCTCAGGCTCCCAAAGTGCTAGCTAAGCTACAGGCCTGAGTCACTGTGCCCAGCCAAGCATATATGGCTTAGAATAAACATCTTTCATCCTCATTCACAGCTGTCTTTTTTCATGTAACAATTTTTGCCTGATTTGACATTGACTTTATTTTCCCACTCCTGTTTTACTTTTGTTTGTTTGTTTTGCATTTGCCTGGTATATCTCTGAAGAGATCTAAAGGAAGAAGTTCTTGCTGCCAGGCTCCTCAGATGCCCATGAAGGGGCTATCCAGGTGATGTGGAGGGTAAGTGACATGTGACATTTGCATAAAATAACCTTAATTCTTTAATTCCTTTACCACCGCCATCCCCTGCATCACAGCACTGTATGTTACTGCGTGCTGCGGCATCAGTGCACCCTCTCCTCAGCTGTCAGCATTGCATTTTTCCTGGCTGTGTCTTCCATGCCTCTGTTTCACCCACAGCCATTACCTGCAAAGCCGGTCTGCTACTCTGTACATACTTGGGTGGGATACGCTGTGTTTGTTCCTGCATAGAAGGGCTCGCTCTTGTGCAGTTAGTCTTGGTTTCAAAGCTTCTTAAACTTTAGATCCATGTCTGCCATCTTGTATCTGAGGAGTTTGTGGGTGTCCTGGTAGGGGAACTTGGGGGTCCTATACATTTGAGAATTATTGATTTAATCAAACTTACATAGATTTCTTTTCTTTTTTCCCGAGATGGAGTCTTGCTGTGTCACTCAGGCTGGAGTGCAGTGGTGCGATCTCAGCTCACTGCAACCTCAACCTCCTGGGTTCAAGCAATTCTTCTACCTCAGCCTCCCAAGTAGCTGGGATTACAGGCTCACGCCACCACATCCAGCTAGTTTTTGTATTTTTAGTAGAGATGTGGTTTCACCATGTTGGCCAGGATGGTCTCAAACTCCTGACCTCGTGATCTACCCGCCTCAGCCTCCCAAAGTGCTGGGATTACAGGCGTGAGCCACCATGCCTGGCCCAAAGTTACATCGATTTCTATAGTGCAGTGGTGCAATCATAGCTCTGCGTGGCCTTGAACTCCTGGGCTCAAGCAAGCCTGCCGCCTCAGCCTCCTCAGTAACTAGGACTACAAGGTACATGACACCACACTCAGTTAATTTTTTATTTTTTTATTTTTTATAGAGATGGGGTCTCACTATGTTGCCCAGGCTGGTCTCAAACTCCTAGGCTCAAGCAATCCTCCCATCTTGGGCTCCTAAAGTGCTGGGATTATAGGCATGAGCCACTGTGCCTGGCCAATAGTTAAGGATTTTTCATAGGCCCCACATGTCAATGTATATTAGGGATCTTTAAAGGGGGCATGAGAAGGGGTGTCCCTGCCAGCCCTTGAGTTGCTGCTCTGGAATCAGCAGGCCCCAGCTCTGCTTCAGACTCCAGGCTCCCAACTACCTGCCCAGCTCTCAGCCATTTTTCTGCCTGGAGGTCTGCCTGCCTCTGCACAATTCCAGTTCATGTGCAGGTTCCCTTGCATTTTAATTTCATCATGTAATAATCTTATCCTGACAAATTCTAGGCATTTCTGGCACATTCTCTTTTTTGTGTGTGCTGTTAGTTTGATAACACACTGGATAAATTCCAGTGAATTTATTCAGTTACGTAAACATCACCACAATCCAATTGGAGAACATTTTCATCAACCTAAAATGTACAGAATGAGGACAAGTCATGGGCAAATAGATGTGGGTAGGGAAGCAGTTGGACGCTGAGTTCCCCGTTTCCACTGCCGCTGGGGCTGGACCCCTATGCCTCCTCCTCCCATACGCCTCTCTCTGGGCTGATCCCAACTGGCAGCACGCCCTCCCCCAAACCCCAACTGCCGAGACGTCCCGGGAGCCTCACAAGCGCCCGTGAGGAGGTGGAGAGAGGCTGCAGGCACTGATCTGCCTTCAGCTTCCTGCTTGGCAAACTCCGAAAACTTTCACTTTTCTTTTCTCTGAAGCCCGGCCCCTTACTGCGTTTGTCAAAGCACGGACTTCCTGTTTTGCCTGCTACCATCTCCCTGTAACTCTCCCAATCTTCGAGGAGTGATCCCCGGCCCAGCTCCTGGAAAGGGGCAGGAACGACAAACTCAACGTCCAGGTGAGTTTCTGTCTTTGCTGCTTTATTCTTCGCCCTTGGCGACTGCAGAGGCGACTGCAGTTAACTTTCCGGCAGCAGCTGCAGGGTGGAGTTCACCTATTGAAACTCGGAGGCTCTGTCAGAGCTCAAGCACGTGGTACTTATTAGGAGACTGTTAAAAGGGGGCACATGGAGGGAACACTGACACCTCTTTTTTTCGCCATAGAATCCAGCCTGTTACTGTGAATGGAACCGAGATTTGCCCTCTACCCTCACCTAAGCTCTCATCCTGCGCTGCCGGCAATAGGCGGCTCATCTGTTATCCGTTGTGTAAATGACTAGAGGTATTTGGGAAGCTGGTGGAAAAGAAAAAATGAGAGTACATTTAATTTCCTCTCTAGTGTATCGTGAACTTTTTATATATTTTCTCTAAACACACTCATGATTATTTCCTTGAAATAAATTATTAGAAGTGGAAATTCAAAGGAACCCATGTTTCAGGGCATTTGACACTGATTACTGAATCAGCCCCCAGAACATTTGGACCTGTTGACCTTCCCACTCACAGTGTCTGAGATTATTGCTATTATTTTCTATCTTGGCCAATTTGATAGACAAATATGTTATCACATTGTCTTCATTTACGCTTTGTTTGTTTGTTGTTGTTGTTTTGAGACAGAGTCTCACTCTGTTGTCCAGGCTGGAGTGCAATGGCACCATCTCAGATCACTGCAACCTCCGCCTCCTGGGGTCAACCTTCTGCCTCAGCCTCCTGAGTAGCTGGGACTACAGGTGTGCACCACCATGCCCAGCTAATTTTTGTATTTTTAGTAGACACAGGGTTTCACCATGTTGGCCAGGCTGGTCTCGAACACCTGACCTCAGGTGATCCTCCCACCTCGACCTCCCAAAATGCTGGGATTACAGGCATGAGCTACCATGCCTAGCCTTCATTTATACTTTCTACCAGCTAGTTAACATGCTTATCGTATATTCATTGCACATTTGGCTTATTCTTTTATCACTCTTTGTTCATGTATTTTGCTTTTTTATTTTCTAGTTGGATGTTTGTCTTTTGCTTATTCGTTTGCAAAATCTCTTTACATAATAAAAATCTGAACAGTCATATATGAGATATAGTGTCTTGCATAGAGAGAAACAGGATTTTAGAGTCAGACAAGCTCTGCTTTGCCACTGAATACCTTGTGTGACTTACTATACCTCTCTGTGCCTCCCTTTCATCTTTGGGACTCATGACAGACGAAGAATGAGGAAGCTCCAGACTTCCTGTTCTGAGCGCTGCTGTATAATGAATTGTTCTAAAAGAGGCCCCCAAGACCCCTTCCTCTTCTTAGTATATGTTTATTCTGACTTTCTCTGACTTTGCACTGATCTTTGCACTATCTCCTTCCCATAGGCATATTGTGGATAGTAGATTTCTCTCCTATCTGTTCTCTATCTTCCAAGACTTCTTCCCGACCACAGATTCTCAGTGGCATCTTTTCTTGTTTTCCAGGGCTATTGCAGATTATTCTTTTCATGAGTACTTTTTTCTGCCAAGTTAAAAAAATTGGGGAATGAGGAGAAAGAGACTATGGTGCTTAATCTGCCACTGGGATTAAATCCCTGGAAACAGTTGTTAATTACAATTTAGTTTTCTGTTCAACACAAAATGAATTTGGAAAAATGGAATCCATGTTTGTTCTGTTTGTTAAAAACCCTCAAGTTGATTGAATGTTTTGTGAGTGCTTTTCCTTTACTTGACAATTTGTCAAGAATGTCATTTATAAATTTTCTTCCCATTATAACTTATTGATATCTCCTCATGGTCCATAAATGGCCAATCTTTAATAAATGCTGCATGGTCATGGGAAAAGGCACACGTCTGAGATATGAAATGGTGGCACTGAACATGTCAGTTAAGTCACTTTTACTAAGTATGCCTTTCTCAGCCCTCATGCTTTTATTTATGCTTGGCCCATTTGTGTTGAAGATTGGGAGTGGTTTATTAAAGTTTCTAAATATTATCAGGTTTCCAGCCGGACTCTACCCATTTTAGGGTGGTCCCTGTTGCATGAGCATTGCTAGTTAATGGCTTCAGCTACAGCCCGGGTCATCTTGTTTAACCCAGATCAATGTGGCCATGGAACACATAGTTAGGACTCTAAGCCTGGAATCGGGATTTGCTCCCAGCTCTTTCACTCTCGAGTTGTGCAACCCTGGGGCAAGTTATTAAACCTTTCTATGTCTCAGTGTCCTCAACAGTGTAAACAGGTGCGGCCATAGGAGCCATCTCACAAGGGTTTTATGAAGATCAGATAAGTTACTGCATATGAAACCCTTAGAACAAAGTCTGGCACACAGGAAACACTCTATAAATATTAGCTACTTTTAATATCTTCCTTATGTTTACCTGCAGCGCCTTGGGATTCTGTCATTATATTTTCAGTCACTCTCAGCCTCCATTGTTGCTGGGAATTGTCATTGTTTCCTATACCCATGAGCCTTTTAGGCAGACATTGCTTTGCAGGTACTAAGGATGCCTTTGGGACCAGAATGCCTACCTTTAGATCTGCCCATTTAATGCAGAGAGAAGCTGCCCGCATTCCTCAAGGTCTTTGCTTCTATTTTTTTTTTTTTTTTTTGATGGAGTCTCGCTCTGTCACCTAGGGTAGAGTGCAGTGGCACCATCTTGGCTCACTGCAACCTCCACCTCCCGGGTTCAAGCGATTCTCCTGCATCAGCCTCCCAAGTTGCTGGGACTACAGGCCCACGCCACCACTCCCAGTTAATTTTTGTATTTTTAGTAGAGACAGGCTTCACCATATTGGCCAGGATGGTCTCAATCTCTTGACCTCAGGTGATCCGCCCACCTCAGCCTCCCAAAGTGCTGGGATTACAGGCGTGATCCATCGCGCCCAGCCTTTGCTTCTATTTTTTTATCATGCCTCTTTCCATAGGATGTTCACCATGACAAGAGCCATGGAAGAGGCTCTTTTTCAGCACTTCATGCACCAGAAGCTGGGGATCGCCTATGCCATACACAAGCCATTTCCCTTCTTTGAAGGACTCCTAGACAACTCCATCATCACTAAGACAATGTACATGGTGAGTCATGTTGAACCCTTCCATGGCAGCCCAGCCCCCACCAAATATGCCTGATTATTAAGGTCTCAAACCACAAACCACCAGGGCTTCCAGAGTTTGGAAGGCCCAGCCCAGGCGTGTTCATTATCACAGAAGGTGGGGGTGGTTAGGAGCGAGGGTGTCATAGGGGCTATATTGGTTTCTAGGGTGTCACTGATGTAACAATGACTACAAACTAGATAGCTTAAAACAACAGAACTATATTCTCTCAGTTGTGGAGGCCAGAAGTCCAAAATTAAGGTGTTGACAGGGTTGATTCCTTCTAGGGGCCCTGAGGAGAATCCGATCCCTGCCTATCTCCCAGCTTCTGGTGGCTGCTGGAAATCCTTGGTGTTCCTTGCCTTGTAGACACATCACTCTAATCTGTTTTCATCTCTACATCACCTCTCTTTTGAGTCTTCAACCTAATCTTCTGAGGACATTTGGATTTAGGGTCACCCTAATCAAAGACGATTTTATCTCAAGATCCTTAACTTAATTACACCTGCAAAGACACTTTTTCCAAGTAAGTTCGCATTCACAGATTCTGGATGGCTATATCTTGGCTGAGAGGGGCACCATTCAACTCACTACAGGCATCATTCCAATTTATGACAGCTTATATTGCTCACAGTGCATTCTGATGTGAGACAGGCAGGCACTGGAAGATATGCTATGTGGACAAAGTGGACCTATTTTTATACAATTTTGGTTTTTAAAAGCATTTATTGAGCCCTAGACTCGGGGAAGTGCCAGCAATCTTCCCTAGTCTCAGTCTGGTTGGCCCCAACTTCCTCTTCAGATCACAGCCCAGAGAGCGCTCCTCAGAGATATCTCCTTGGCCCACTCATCTCATTAAGACCTCTTAGTTATTCAGTTCCATAGCAATCTATACTTTCCCTCCATAACACTACTCTCAATTGTAAATGGGTATTTGTGTTTATTAATGCCCATCTTCTCCACCTGACAGTGCCTACCCTGCCCCCCAAATATAGGCAGCTCTATGTTGGTCTTATTCAGTGCTGTGTACCCAAAGACTTGCTGACTGAGCCTAGTAGATGTTCAATAAGTATTTGCAATCAGTTCTCTCTTGCCATATTTCTCCTTTTGTCCATCCTCTCAGCAAGGAAAATTCTCAGGGAGACTTCTCTGTGGCTGGAATGTATTCGAGTCATTTCAAGTTTGAAAGACACAGAGAGAGACTGAGCAGAGGCTAACAAGCAACCAGCAGAATTGCCTCTGTGACCATCACTAGAACCACTGCTGAAGTATCCTGCCCAGAGCATTAAAGAGTCAATTACATAGTAGCATCCTTTAATTCCACTTTCCTTCCTTCAAATTTCTCTCTCATCTCAAATGTGCCTGAAAGTTGGATTCAGAATATAGACTTACCTTAAGAAAGCTAAATTATTTATTTTTGTTGATAGTCATCCAAATATGTGTAAAGTTTCAAAAATAAGCATGGTAAAATTGTGACCGCTCTACCTTAGAGAATGTGACTATGACTATGTATTTTATGTTAAATTTCTTCTTAAAAGAGTAAGGTAGCTTTCTTAAAACTTAGAAAATCATAAATGTATAACTTCCCATTCGATTTTATAGTCATTTATAAAAACCTTCACTCCATTTTTTAAGGAATCTCTGGAAGCCTGTAGAAATTTGGTCCCTGTATCCAGAGTGGTGCACAACATTCTCACCCAACTGGAGAGGACTTTTAACCTGTCTCTTCTGGTGACATTGTTCAGTCAAATTAACCTGCATGAATATCCCAATCTGGTGACGATTTACAGAAGCTTCAAACGTGGTAATGAGATTTCTCAAGTCCTTTTTGCATTTAAAAAGTTGCTATGGGAAAAGTCGGGGTTTACTTCTAGCCCTGTGGAATATGCATATTAATCCCCCGCTTTCTCTCTGGGGAGGAATGGATCATATTCTCTCATTGGCACAGCTGCAGAAGCAGCCCCTTGCTAAAGCTGATTCCAGCTCTCTAAAATGAATTTCTAGAGGACATAAACATTTCTTACGTGTGCTATGAATTTGGAAAAAAAATCATAGCATTTGGCATACTGGACAATCTATAGGGAATGCATAAAGTGACAGAAATGCAAAGTTACAGAGATCACATCTAGTGGAAGGACAAGGAGAGTCAGGGAGGAAGAAAAATGAGTAAGGATGGATAATACTAAGTATCTTTTTATGGTGCATTATCGCAAACACTTTGTTTGAGTATCTCATGTCATCTTTAAAACAACCCTTTGAAGTCATTTTTATCCCCATTTGACTGACAGAGAAATTAAAGCCCAGAGGTAATTTTCCCACAATTACTTGTCGGTTAAGAAGCAGAGCAAGAGTCCTACTTGGGTCTCCCAATACCAGGGCCCAAGATTTTAACCACTAGTCCAGACAGGGACAGCTGGAAGGCAGATTGTAAAGCTAGAGAAGGGAAGAAAAGTAGCTACAGAGAAAGGGAGGGAACTGCAGATGTAGCCACAGAAAGAGAGGGTCTGAGAAAGAATGGAGCATGAAGTACATGGAGAAAGAAAAGAGATTGGATAAATAAAGGAGCAGGAAAAAGAACCGTGGCAGAGCTGGGAAGAAAGCAGCCAGGGAAAGAGAGCAGGCAGTAAAGTCATTTTAAGTTGGAAGTAAAACACTGGCCAAATCATATGTTCACTTACCTCAGAACAACAAGCAAAGGACCACCAGCTCACATTGGATTGTGATATTTTCATTAGTGGAATCACCATTGTTGACAGTTCCTCCTTTGCTCTCTGACACTTCACCATCAAAAGGCTTCCCCCTAAAGGGGGAGATGATTTCTTGAGCTAAAGGGACAGTGAAAGGGGCAAGTCCACCTCCAGGTAGGGCCCACTGTCCTGGCAGCATACGGACAACATTAGGAGAGGCGTGGCTTTAAAGGCTGTGCTAAGAACACCTGAAAGCCATGGAGACCCACACACTGATGTGCCCCTAACCTGGCTGAGCTTCAGTCATCTTCCAGGATCTTCAACTTGATGATTTTGTTCTGGATCCCTTTCCAAAATTGGAAGTTCCTTTCCTTTTTCCATTCACTGGTTGAGACCATTTTACTTCTGAAATAAATTATGGAGAAGAATCTTAAGAGAAACCCCGCACTAGCCGTGCAAGGGAATGCATGTGGAAAGCCAAGGGTCTGGGGTGTTGTGGATGGGAGAGAAAGCTGGGTGCGACCAGATCACAGGGTACAATAGAAGCCGCAGAAGCTGACTCTGCAGAAATGAGCAGAAACCAGAATATAAATGTCCTCATACACCCTGCTGAGGAATTTTTGTTTTCTCTTATTTGCTTTGGGGAAGTGTGATCAGTTTATTTATTAAAACAGAGACCTCTTTTAAAACTATAGCATGTTCATTATTGACTAAATCATATGACACCAAGATTAAAGAAAATTAAATCGCTGCGTACAAACCCAAACTCAACTTTTCTGGGTGAAACCATTTTGGTATTAGATCAGGGCTTAGATGCAGTTATTGTGGCACTCAATGCCCAAACCAGATAAATAAAATAGAAAGGGGCCACAAATGGATAATGATGACAATGAGTCAGTTCTCTGCACCGGGGGGACAATGAATAACTCCATGGCCCCATCCGATTGGAAGGCATGAATTGAGAAATCCCCTTCCCCAAGTAATTCTGAGTCTCCAGGGTACTGATGTGTGTCCCTTCACCAATCCCAGTTGGCGCTTCCTATGAACAGCAGAGCAGAGACACACCAGTCCTACTTGAAGCCCCAACTGACCTAGCAGAAGGAAGCTCCCTCCGTACCCCACTGGCGCTGCCCCCACCACAATCCCCTCAACCAAGCTCTTCACCCTGTGCGCCAAGAGTCAGTGAGCCTGGAACATCCTCGCAGCAAAGCAATGAGATCCTGAGTGAGTCGCCCAGCCCATCTGACCCTGTCCTGCCTCTCCCTGGACTCATCCAGGAAGGAAGAAGCACTCCAGGTGAGAAGCAGATCCCATCCAACACCCGTATATCCTCAGCCTAAGGTGCCTGTGCAATGTTGCCTCCAATCCCAGCGTCTTGACTTTTATTGTCCTAGTTCTTCTCTTGCACCCACCTACCCATACATGACCCTTTTCAAGAGGGACTATGAGCACTGCCGGGGAGTGGGTAAGACCTAGAGTCTAGAACACCTGCTTCCCACACCTGGGACATTCCAACCCACTGCCTTTGTGCCTTGATGCTCTATCTGTTCCAGGCACTTTTAACATTCACTCTCCACCCTGACATCCAGTCCCTGTAATCTGTAATAATTTCCTTTCCTCCTTCAGTGACCAATGATGAGTTAACATCCAAAATGAATGAGGAAGACGACTCAGAAGAGATGCCCAGCCTCCTCGCTAGCACCGTGCCAGGTAATACCGACTGGGGCTAATACAGCTTAGCTCAAGGTGGCTGTGAAGGGAGAACATGCATCTGCCAACCAAGAGGCTAGGGTGGGAACCATGGAAAAAGGAGCTGGGTGTGACAAAGGAAAAGAAACAGAAGGGGCCAATTCACCAATGCAGTAATGCAAAACAAACCAACAACCAAAACACCATTCTGAATTGACAAGTAACCTGTGTAACACTCACACTAGTGACCCTTAGCTGATTCCTCACCCCCACCTGATTATCGGGGCCTTTGAGTTTCAACATTCTTCATTTTTATATGGTTTGGATTCTAAGAGCAATGATCAAAATTACTAGAAAAGATGATAAAATGTCTACAGGTCTGCTAGACCTGATATTTAGCTTCTAAAATTGTATCACTTGCCCTCCCCAAACCATTGTCATAATGGATTTTGATTATGTTAAATATAAGAATGGTATGATATTGGGCATTGTCAAAAATGATATCATGGATCCTGAGCTCTCCAGTACTGAGAATAGGGTTCCTCTTCGATCCAAATAATATTTCATCCACTCCTCTAATACCTACCATCCAAAAAGGTTAACATAATCAGGAAGCTAACAGCAGTGGAAGAACAAGTGGCTAATTGAGAGTGAATGGTTGCTTACTTTCCCACTCCATCCCATCCTTCCCTGGGCCTTGGTTGCTCAGTTACCCTGTCATTTTTACTTATTGGAATAGAGCATTCTCTTTCCTCCTCATTCTGGTCCCTGCTTGCTGTTCCTGAGATCTGAAACTTTTTCTTCCTCCGTTCAGTGGCCAGTGACGACCTGATCTCCCAAATAAAAGATAAAGAAGACCCCCAAGAGATGCCCCACTCTCCGTTGGGCTCTATGCCAGGTAATCTTGTTTTAGTCAACCTGAAAGCTTGCCTTTGTTTCTGTGTCTACCTAGAGGAAAAGCCATTCAGATCTTCTAGGGAGGGGGCTCTCCTCCCGCCTCTCAATCTTGGCCCAGCTTCCAGTTCACTCAGCACTGGGGAGCTTGAACAGGCAGGAGATCTGACCCCTGAATGGATACAGAGTCCCTGGGGGAGGGCAAAGGAGGCAAGTCTGGAAAAGGTAGACTTGGATAGGGCCACAGACAATGATGGACAGAGCCCCACCAGTACCTGTAGGCTTGGACTCCAAATACCACAAAGTGCCTGAAAGGGAAACATTCACCTGCCACAAGGGGTTGTGGCAGGAACCCCAGGGGAAAGCACAGGGAACTGAGTCAGGCTGGACTGTTTGACGGAGCCACTCTTCTGAGCCTCTTCAATAAAGTAGTGCTCAAAACTGCTCTGTCAATGCAAAGCAAATGAATAAAAACACTGTGTGGCCCTAATAGTGATGGTGCAGCAGACATGGATGGTCCTCCTTCCAAGCCCCAACCTGATGGTGGGGAATCTTCACTTTCAACCCTGGTCATTTCTATATCATTTGGAGTTTAAGAGTTGATATTATTAATATAATTTGAAAGGTAATAAATTATTCCAAAGGTCTAATGACCGTTTGCCACCTGCCTCAGTCACCTATTCCTACGCAGGCCAGCATTTGAGACCAATCTCATAGCAGTGTGTAAAGAAAAAGGTGACAGCTTTATGTGAGATGGGCCTTTATTTGTAATGGCTTCAAATCCTCTGTCTTTCTTTGTGCAGCAAAAGCTAGCAGAGCTTTATATATCTTTGCTGTTAACAGGTGCTAGCAAGCACAAGCTTGCTCCTGCTTTCTTCAAACAATCCTTGTATACAGAAATATATAAGGCACTGAGCCTTCTTTGCTATTTCTCCAAGTAAAATAACCACAGATAGAGCAGTTAAAGAATATCCATACATAGACATCAAAGCAATAAGATGTATTTTTCATGCAGCAAAGACATTCCCCTCCATCGTGGACATCAGATTTCAATGTCACCACTTTCCGCTCTCAGCTTCATTCCTTGAGCAAGGGCTGCTGGGAGCAGCAACTATGTGACTAGAGTCATAATACCCAGCACAGTTTATTTCTGCAATTTCCATTCATTGTACCCTCTTCATTCACTTCTCTTCCATCCATAAGATAATCTCTCTAAAAGGATCAGACTGAGCCTCTGCTGTGGGGCAGTTGTGCCCTAGTTCCCTGTGATGGTCACACAGGTAACAATAACCACAAGCTAGTAAAAATCAAGACAGAACCAGGGAATTCTTAGGGCTAGCAGATTCCCAGCCCTGGGCTGCATGTACTTTCTACTTTTCTAGTTCTTCCATTGACTTCCCTCAGCACTTTCTCTTCACTGGATCTGAGCTCTGAAGTGACTTATATTTCTTTTGTCAGAGATAAGAGATGATTCTCCAGAACCAAATGACCCAGAAAAGCCCCAGGAGGTGTCCAGCACACCTTCAAACAAGAAAGGTAAGGAAAGCATTTCTCCTGTAGAGGTCAGAAGGGTGAATTCTGAGTTGCTTTCTGTTTTTCTGTGTCTTGTCAAGAGCACCACTATGTGACCACAGTCCTGATGCCACACACAGTTTGTTTCTGCTATTTCCATTCACTGCATCTTCCAGAAAGGCCTTTATGAAAATTATCAGAAAACCAGAAGGCATTTGGGGATATTGAAATATGCCATTGGAATTGCCTTTTCTGAAAAAAATCAATCTCCTATATTCACAACTTCTGTGTTAATTGCACTTCCGTCTTTAACTGAAAATTGGTTCCCCAGAGAGGAACCCACTTCCTCTTAAGACATGGCTGGGCATTCTCTGCCATCCGTCACTCACACCTCATGGTGAGAGGCAGGTTAGATGTCCATCCTTTGCTGCCTACTGACCCCATCCAGCCCCTTCCTCCCTGATCCTCTCCTTTGAGGCTTAACCATTCAATTAAAATGTTTGCTCACTCATCATCAATATCATCCAATAATTTCCCCAATAATCCTTTCAAAGGCTGTTTTTCTGTCATTTCAAGTCGCAGCATCATCCTAGATGCCTTCAGGGTACACATGGATAACAGACAACTCTGTTATCCAATACTCTGGCCCCTCAAATCCTTCATCTTCTCATTTTCCATGACTTTTTCCTCCACCAATTCTTGGCCTCCCATACCCAAAGGCAACCTATAAACCCTATCATCATTTAAATCTGGCTCAATTTCCCAGCAGTTAATTTCAGAATTCCTTTTTTGATACCTATCCTTGAGCTTTTCTCCTTCTGTAGCTATCATTCAACCTCTGATCACTCTTTTTCCCAGTCCAATTCTAACAAACAAACAAAAAAGAATCAAAAACATGTTTTTCTGTTCTTATTTATTTATTGTTTCCTCTGAAGTTGTCCTTCAACATAATTTGGATCTCCAGTCCACTGGCCTTTTCTCCTTCCAAGCCATCATCTGCTTTTCTTTGCTGCCCAGCTTTTTAACGTTGACACTAATTCACAGTCCAAGAGTCATCATTTCAGTAATCTATTGCCATTATCTTAAATCCGCCTTTCCTCTCTGCCTTTTCCTGGAACTCTCTGGTAAGTCTTGGAAGACCCTACTTACCTACTTCCTGTACACTGCATCTGAAAGCCAGCAGTGCTGGAGAGAGTTCCACAGCAGGGCAGAGTACACTCACTGGTCTTCATGGTTCCAGCACAAATCATCTCTCCTTACTGTATGACAATGCTACTTCCTGTAATAATCCTTTCAAACCTCAAGCTCTATTTTTCAAACCTCTGACCCCCTCACCTTCTGCTTTTTGCTCAATCAATGACTCCCCCTCCTGCACCATAAGCAGATATCAGATGACAATCCCCTTATTTGTCCTGCTAGCCCTACAAACCCTAATTATATCTGTTTTCCTCCTCTCTGAGTTCCCTCCTTCTCTTCTAAGACAATCCTTCCACCTCATCTTGTAGTATCCATAATTCCTTCTCTCTCAAGTATTCCTTACAGCAGTATCTCTCACACAAGAATCTGCATTCAGACAATAATTACATGTATCATAGCTCATTAAAAAATGCTTTACCTTGGTTCTCATCTCACTTCAACTACTTCCATAGCTCTCTCCTTCATTTCACAACCAAACTTCTAGAAGTGAGTTACCTAAACTCCCTGTCTCCATTTCTTCGTTTCTCCTTTTCCTCTGTCATTTGACAGTCCATCTTCCCCTATTATTCCCTGAAGTAGCATCGCCTAAGGTCACCAGTGACCTCCTAGCAATGTGGTTTGAAGGCCAAAAGTAAAAGCTGAATATCACTGACATATAAGATTGGGAGATCAATGTTTGTAACTATAAAACATTATCCTTTCTTTTTAGGAAAGAAAAGAAAAAGATCTGTCTGGTCAACTCCAAAAAGGAGACATAAGAAAAAAAGCCTCCCAAGAGGTAAGATGAGAGTACAAGAGAAAGCTGGAGGCTGGAAACAGCTCATGCAGGGCTTACAGGTCAAGCTGTGGAGGATTGAATTTTATTCTAAATGCAATGGGAAGTCATTGAAGAGATTTAGTCAGTGAAGTGACACAATCCAAGCTCAATTTTGCTACAGTGTAAAGAATGAGTTGGAGCTGGGAAAGAATGGAGACAGGACAGCCATTTTGGGGCAGATGCCATGAGAGTTCCTAGTGGCTTGGATTCAGATCTGACAGTGGAGGTGCAGAAAAGAGTGCCAATTCAAGATCAGTTTTGCAGGTATTGTTGACAGGATTTGACATATTAGCTACAGATGAGAAAGAGAGAAAAATCAAGGCCCATTCTTCAATTTCTGGCTTAAATGAGTAAGTGCTAATTCCCATTGCTGAGGGAAGATGTAAATACATTGGGGGGATAACTTTTAGAGTTCAATTTTTGACCTGTTCCTTTAGAGGTTTCTGCTGGCCATCTACGCAGCTGTGCATAGATGTGTGTTTTGTCAAGAACTGTGAAGGGTCTGAGATGTTACTCCACTTGCATTGGTATGTCCTTATATACATATATATATACGAGTGCTGCAGGAACACAAGGTATTTGGGCCAGGGAAAACAATCTTTACTGATATTCACAACCAGCTCATCAGCCAGAGCAACACTGCAGTGTCTGTCTCCCATACACAAACCAAAAGGCAATGCTAAGAGAGCTAATGGGATCTTTCTATTCAAAATAGACTATAACTCATATATAAGGGATGTAGAAATGATGGATTTTCTGTGTAGATACATGAGAGGGACAGCCATCATCCTCTCCTCCTGAAAGGAGAAGAAAAAACTTTGCTGCTTTGAGATAAAATGGAAAAGATCCTGATTCCCAAGGTCCCCATCCTAACCTTTGGAATTTAAATGCATCTTTGCAAAGGCCAGAGAAACTCCAGGTGTTGCTGACTTTTATGACCTAAAGATGTCTCCAAGTTCTGGGCTTTATCCCTTGTGATATACAGATACCTAGGGAAAGACCACTCCAGTTTTCCTGGTACTTTAGGATTTAACCTAGGAAGCTAGTCCTGAGTAAACCCATCTGGACATCTCAGGAGATAAGAGAAGTTTTATTATCCCTTTAGATCAGAGCAATTAACTAGAAAAAGAGCTATAGCTCTAATTCTCGTGGTATGTGAAGAGCACAATGTTTCTGGGGAAGTGAAAGCAAGTATTTCCTATATTTATATTGTATACATTTCTATGTCTTGAGGGCTAGGGCTTTTTACAGGAACACTGAGAAATCAGGAAGTTATATTTTCCACAAATACGGCAATTTGGCACTCATGGAAAAAGTCTGGTCCATATATATATATGAGAGTGTGTGTGTGTGTGTATATATATATATCATCTGCAGATATATATCATCTGCATCCATATATATATATATATATATATATATATATCATCTGCATCCATATATATATATATATGAGAGTGTGTGTGTGTGTGTATATATATATATCATCTGCAGATATATATCATCTGCATCCATATATATATATATATATATATATATATATCTGGACCAGATATATATATAAATATAAATATATATATTTATATTTATGAGTTATCAGTAAAATAAAGGTATTCTGATCTATGGGAGAAGAAAAGAGAACCACAGACCTAGCCCTGCTCTCAGAAATCCCAGTGGAAGAGGAATCTAGCAAGGCAGACTGAGGGAATGACACCAGTCAAGACAGGAGCACCAAGAAAGAACATATTAGCAAGCCAAGAGGGAATGGTTGACTATACTGAAAGACTAAGATAAATTCAGAGAACAGGGCCTTGAGTTTTGTCAGAAAGAATCACTGGAAAATTTAAGAAAAATTTTGGTGATGGAGGCAGGAGCCAGTTGTCTGGGGAGGATAATGAATGGGAGGCGATAACATATGTAGACAACTCTAGCTATAAAGGGAAACAAAGCAATAGATGGCAACCTAAGCCAGTGGCTTAAAGCTCCTTTTCCCTGACTTAGTTTACCCTTAGTATGATCCCAGTGTCCAAAATCACAGGGCTGGTGTCCTTTTAAGATACTTTACAGAAATGATTCCATTCTATGAAAAGTAAGTGACCTTCCTGGGCAGGAAGGAGAAACAAACTGCTTTCTCCTCCATTCTACTTATTAGTCAATGGCCTCTCACCATGTTGTGTGTGTTCTCTATGGGCCTCCTTGGTTTAGTGTAAACTGATCAGGTTATTCAACTCACACTCCTGAGCTTTGTCAAACACTCTCACAACTTCAATTACCACCTTTACACTGACGGCTCCCAAGTCTACATCTTCAACTCAGGTTTGTCTTCAAGAAACACATAGCCAGCTGCACACTGGGCATCTTTGTTTGCAAGTCTCCCATTGACCCTACAGTCTCAATATACCTGAAATTAAATTCATCTTCTTCACCAAAAACCTAGTCTTCTAAGTACCATTCAGGAATTTATTCAACAAATATGCAGTGAGCACTAACTGTATATACCCATTCTGAAAGCTGAAGACAGTTTTTATTTTAAAGAGAGAAAGCAAGAAAGTGAGCAAAAAAGAAAGGGGAAAGCTCATGGAGCTTATACATCCTGGCTGGGGGAGAGAAAGAATGTAAACTAGAAAGCACATAAACAAGATAATTTCAAGTAGTGATGCAGGATGGAAGAAAATAATGGATAGGGTTACAATAGTGACTTGCAGTTTGGAGTGGGAGTCACTTTGGATTGGATAGTCCAGGCAGAGGGACTCAAAAGTGCAAAGAACCTGAGGCAGAGAGGAACGACCAGTGTTGTTGGCAATGATGAAGAAAGAAGGGGGTAGAAAGTGAAAAAGTAAACAAGAATCAGATTATGTAGGGTTTCACAGGCTCTTGGGAGCCTTTTGTAGTTTATTTAACTTGAAATGAGGAACCTGATCTACCCAGGCGCCAAGCAAAAACCTTAGTCATCCATGACTAACTGAACTCTATTAGCATATTGACAAGATCTGTTGGTTCACCCTCTTTTTTTCTACATTAAAATCTGATTAGTTTATTTCCATGCTTAAATCTTGTCCATGGTCTCCTATTGCCCTTAGGGTAGTGTTCACTTAATGTGATTGTTAAAGCTCTCTCCAGTCTAACCCATGCCTTACCCTCCAACTATTAATATATCTCTTTCCACTTAAAACTCCAGTCAACCACTCTGAACTTTCATTTCCTCCCATTTCATTTCTCTTCCCTTTGATCCTTGGCGTGTGCTATTCTTTTTGGATGCTATATTCTGAACCTACGCTACTCTCCCTAAATGTTTAGTTATCTTCTTTTCATCAATGGTGTTGGCTTATGTCTATCTTAGGAATGCATACTCTGACCCCTAAATTAGCCAAGCTGATCCCACAGTTTCTACAGTACCCAGCACTGGCTCTTTTGGAAGATTCGAAATACTCTGTTGTAATTACTTATATAATGTGTCTCTTCTAGGCTAGATGGTAATGTCCTGGCACAAATGAGCTATTATTTTTTAAATGAAAAACAAATGAAAGAAACCATATTTTCTGTAACCCAAAATTTGAGTAATGATCTGACAAAGGATAGTTTATGAATTTATTATTGTGTTAGGAAAAGGGGTCATAGACACTATGGGCACCACGTGGTGTAGACACAAACTAAAGGTTATTGGAGGGAAATTTCCAATACAATTCTCCAAATTCTTATTATCCCACATTTAGGGCAGACATAGGTAGTCTGCACACCCCATGGCCAACAGCCCAGTACTAAGATGCCCACTGCCACAATGCTCTACACATTATAGGATTAGGGAGATAGGGAATGTGTATGCAACCATACAATTATGAACACTCCCTGGTCAGAGAAGTGACTTTGTTAGAGAGGGGAAACCTCTGGAGTCGGGGGATGGTGTCAGATGGTCAGTTCTGTTGAGGTAACTCTGACCTTTTGACACCTCTCTGCCAAGCTACCAAAGGGATGCCAGCCTCTTCCAGATTTGCCTTTCTTCATATGGTATTTAAATGAATTTTTTCAGGTTTTTTAAAGGAACCATTTTATTTTAAATGTGACAGATGATGTGCTTTAAATTTTCTTTTTTCCAATTTTCCAATATTTTATTAGGGTAAAATACGTATGACATAAAATTTATCATCTCAACCATTTTTAGGTGCATAGTTCAATGGTATTAAAATACATTTGCAATGTTGTGCAACCATCGCCACCATCCATCTCCAGGACTCTTTTATCTTGTAAAATTTAAACCCTGTACCCATTAAACAACTCTCCATTCCTCCCTGCCCGCAGCCCAACAGAGATATTTTTAAGAGTCATATTATTTTACATTTGATTAATCAGCTTTATTTTTTTAAAAATAAAACACATAAAAAGATGTTTCAAAATTGTAAGAGAAAAAAATACATAGTAGTGCTGAAAATATACATACAACACTCTCGTATTTTCTGTAAGTGTTCTCATCTCTGAAACACTCCTTTAGTTATGCAGAGAAAAAACCTAAACTTGACAATGAAAGGCAAGTTTTAGGCTCTATCAGGCTGCCCCACCCCTTCTGGATAAATTTTCAGTAATTTCCGTGTTTGAACTTCCCGCCAGCCCAGCGTCCCACTGGGCTTCCGGTTCCGCCTCGTCTTAAGGGTTCACCCATGCCTTTTCCTCCGGAAGTGGCCTGCGGATATCACGGTACTTGCATGTGGGAGGGGTGGCTGCACAGTCTGTGTCCTTTCTAACCTGCAGAGAAACGTTCTTGTTCAACAGGACAGTGGTCATCCTGTGGGATCCGCTTCTAAAGTCAGCAGCCAGTGAAAATTGTGTTCTCTTTCCACAATGAAGCAAACTCACCTCTGCATCCTCTGGCATTGCACCTCCTCTGGGTCTCAGCCTCACCTTCCATCTCTCCCTCATGGTAGCCACCTTCTTGGCAGGGTCCTTGCCTCTCAGGTTTTTTAATACCTTGCACTTTGCCCACTGAAGGCACCTAGAAACTTTTGGAAACCTCCTGTACCATACACGGGCCCTGGGGAACCTGGAGAGGTACTTTGTAAGATACTTCCTCTCCACCTAGACCAGACTGTGTGGCCACCTTGTGGTGTGGTCAACACAACGAAAATCAGGAAATAAGCTCTAGGATTTCCGGAGATTTATCTAGTTGATTGCAACAGGTCATACCAGGAGTGAAAGCAGATGGTAATTTGGGGAAACAAAGAAAGGTACATGTAAGAAGAAGGATATAGGCCGGGCGCGGTGGCTCATGCCTGTAATCCCAGGACTTTGGGAGGCCAAGGTGGGCGAATCACGAGCTCAGGAGATTGAGACCATCCTGGCTAACACGGTGAAACCCCATCTCTACTAAAAACACAAAAAATTAGCCAAGCGTGGTGGTGGGCACATGTAGTCCCAGCTACTTGGGAGGCTGAGGCAGGAGAATGGCATGAACCTGGGAGGCGGAGCATGCAGTGAGCCAAGATCGCGCCACTGCACTCCAGCCTGAGTGACAGTGTGAGACTCTGTCTCAAAAAAAAAAAAAAAAAAGAAGAAGAAGTGGAAGGATATAATTATAGAGAAATAGCAGGAGAAAAGTGAAGTACAAGAGTACAGAGATCTGAAAGGGTGGGAGTTGGGAGCATGAGAAAGGAAGTCACTGATTGGGACAGTAGGAGGCTCACTGAAGACCCCAATTTAAACTACTAACAAGTCTTTATTTGGTCCAGATGCAGCCTCACCTAGACATGGAATCCAAAAGAAGCTCAAAGTGGTGGATCAGGTTCCTCAAAAGAAAGATGACTCAACTTGGAACTCCACGGTAGTGACAAGGGTCCAAAAGGCGAGAGCTGAATGTGCCCGAAACTCCAGATCAGAGGGTAAGACTGATGATGGAATCTGCCATTTGAATGGCTCAGTGTGGGAGGGTCTGTCCTGAAGCAGGTACAGGGTTAAGTAGATATGTAAAGTCAATAGAAAGAGGAAAAAGTACAGAGAATGAGGATAGGATATGACAAGAGAGACAAAGAAAGCAAGCATCTCTTGCATCTGAAAAGTTTTTGTGGAAGAAACAGACATGTTCACAGGGACAGCTGTGACCTGGGGCAGCAGCTGTCAAATTTTTTGGTCTCAGGACTCCTTTATGCTCTCAAAAATTATTGAGGACCCTAAAGAGCTTCTGTTCATGTTGTTTATATCTATCTACGTGTACCTTATTAGAAATTAAAACTAATAATTTTAAAATATTAATTAATGTAAAAGTAACAATAATAAACCAATTGCCTGTTAACATAATGTTATTTTATGAAAAATAAATATATTTTCTAAAACCAAAAAAAATTAGTGAAAAGAGTGACATCATTTTATGTTTGTGCAAATATCTTTGATTGTGAGTGAGCTTTATAAAAAGACAGCTGAATCCCTATAACTGTTTCTGCATTCATTTGTAATATGTTGCCTTGATTGAAGGATAGAAAGAAAATCTGGCCTCACACAGATATCTAGTTTAAAAGGGTGAAGTAATTTAATAGTCTTTGAGATATCTGTGGATATTCATCTTTAATACTACACCAACACTCAACAAGTGGTAGTTTCTTAAACATTAGTTGTAATGTAAAATTTGAAACCATATCAATTAACTTCATACTCTGTTACCATAAAATACGTTAATCCATCTTGCATTTTGAATGGACCTTCTACTAATGCAAAATTTCATAATAGTACAGCCGTTTGGAAAATGTACATTTGGAATTATACAATGAGCTTGTAACTCAATCACACAAGTGTTTTCTTGAGGCCACTGTGGTACTTCAGGATGCAATAGAAATGCTTTATATGTGCTCTTCAGGTTTTCACATAGAATATTAAGATGTAAGATATGTACTCAAGGGTAGAAATTTAATAAAATTAATAATTTTTACTGGCTTACCACGAACATTCTCAAGTGAATCTTGCTTTTATTTTTATTTTTTGGTACAGTGAGCAGGTGGCAATGAAGGATGCAGTGATTCCTGCTGAGGTTTGCAGACACTGCTTTGATGTGTCCTAAGGCACCAGCAGTTTTATCTGCCATTGCTCTTGCTCAATCTGTACAAAGGTTGAAATAGTGAAAAAGGCGGAGAACATCTTATTATGAAAACAATTCTGACCTTGCAAATTTTCTGAAAAGGTTTGAGGGACCCTCTAGGGTCTCACAGACCTTACTTTGAGAGACTCTGGCCAAAGGGTTCAGATAGCTCTACCCCATTGTGGACGTCTTCGTTGGTAGAGTAACCACTGCTAACCAACTGTGGTCTGCTCCTCCCCTGAGTGGCAGACAGGCACAGTGTCATGAGCGGCACCAAATCTCTTGGTAGATACATTCTTAGGAGGGTAAGACCTGGAGCCTCCAGGACACTCAACTTCAAAGTGTGCAAGGGCCTTCCTGGGTCTCTGGGAGATTCTCCATAGAGCTTCCCAAGGGGCATTTACTAAGATCTTTTGTTTTCCAGAGATTAGTGATGACACTTCAAAAATGAATGAAGGAAAGAGGTCCCAGAAGACGCCTAGCACACCATCAAGGGTCACACAAGGTAAAACTTGGAGATCACTAGTCTCAGAGTACAGTCACCAGGAATCTAAATTCAGAGCTGTTTTACACTAAGGCAATATTTCTTAACTTTTTTTTCATTATCACTGTGCTAGAAAGCCCTTCTGGATTTTTTTTTCTTAATCAAGACCTTTCCCATGATATTTTACTACTACAAATGTATGTCCTTTATATGTAATGTATCCATATGTATGTGTGTATATCTGCACTTTATAAGATTTTTCTCAACACTCAAGAATGAGTTTTTCTGCTCTTGGCATCAGTATCAACATTACTGAGAATGAGTGTCCCAAGTATATTCCTGGTACTGTACTGAAAGTACAGCTTGTCCAAAGTACAGCTTGATCCAACCCCTGGATCAAGCTAGAATTCCAATCTCCGCATTTCTCATGTGGCCTTTCTGAGAAAATTGAGAAGCGAAAAACTCATTACAAACACACACGTAACACTATGACTGGGCTTGTGTAACTGGTGGAGTTGTGGGCACATGCTGGTAAAATTGTGCCTGTTAATTCACCCCTCACCATCACTACCATTATTCACATTTCTGGAGTAAGTCGATACCACTATCCTTAGAGGGGAGAAAACAGCTGGATATTCTTCTGTTTGCTGGTGATGTGGTCATTGTCACAAAAATCACAGAACTCTCACATGACAAATGTGATTTTCAAACAACAAATATCTAATTATTGTCAGGAAAATTGATTAAATTTTACCACCTTAAAATCTAAATGATCATTTTTAACAGTTTCTCCTATATTGCACTGGCTTATATAGTAGTATTTCAACTTTTCTCATAGATAATTTTATTTTATTCTTACAACCACCCTTGGAGAATATTGAATGACTTATTCTAATTTAACAGATGAGGAAATTGAGACATGGAAAGGATTAGTGGGTTTTTTCAAGATCCCCTGGGTAAGGGCTGGCTGCCACAGGATTAACATCCTGGTCCCCAGGAACTCTTTTCAGGAGCCATCATTCTCCATAGAAAGGAAGGGGCAGAAAGAATACTGTCAAACCTTTGTCAATTCACTATAACCCAAAATAGAAAACTGCTTATTCAAAAATTACTTTCTCATTACTTCCAAGATCCTATGGATAACAGAAATAAACTGTCTTTGGGAAAATCTCCCAGGACAGAGCATAAGCATAAAGAAGAAACTATTTGGTCTCTGTGGTGTGGATCGATGTTACCTTACTGTTATTACGCCATTCTAGGCCATAAAAGACATCCAAGCCAGAAAAAGCCTTATGCTTTTTAAAATCATGATTTAACTTTTTTTCAACATAGAAAAGTTCCTGGACTTTTCTAAAAGCAGTGTGCTGTAACCATTAGGATTATGTTGCTGCATCAACACAGTGGCTCATGCCTGTAATCCCAGCACCTTGGGAGGCTGAGGCAGGAGGATCACTTGAGACCAGGAGTTCAAGACCAGCCTGGCCAACACGGTGAAACCCTGTCTCTATTAAAAATACAAAAATTAGCCTGGGGGTGCATACCTGTTATGCCAGCTACTCAGGAGGCTGAGGTGTGAGAATCACTTGAACCCAGGAAGCAGAGATGGGAATGAGCTGAGATTATGCCACTGTACTCTGGCCTGCATAACAGAACAAGATTCTGTCCCCCCAAAAAATTTTAATGACATATTTTAAATGTTAGTTCTCTAGTATATTTCTGATCCATCTTCATTCAATCCCCAAATTCAATTTCCAGGTAAAATGGAGTACTTTTTTCACATAGGTCACATGGTTTTCTTGCATTCTCAAAGTGATGGGAAAACAGGAAAAAAATTACTTAGAGAAGTATTGACATTGCAGGTTTGTAGATCAATATTTGTAGCCATAAAAGATGTGGGACTTTTTTCTTTTTTAGAAGAAAGGAGAAAAGAATATGGCCAGTCAAGTTCAAAAAGAAAACAGAAAAAAAAACTCCCAAGAGGTAAGCAAGAAAAGTGAAGTGGCTACTCTCTTGGTGTTTATCAAGGCCTTCACCTGACCAGCTGGCATGACCTTCTCCCCAGCCACATGGCCACTCAGTTGTGCCTGGAGCACAGCCAGCCCCAACCTTGTCCCCTAGGCCACCCCATCAGTAGACTCCCCCACAAAGGAAGAGAGAACCTAACACCAACCTGGTTTATACCTAGCCTTCTTTTCTCTTATTATAGGGAGGGAATGGGGTTGAGGTGGACACGAGACATCAGAAAATTTTGAGATTAGGATTGTTTCCTGTCTAGGGTTAGAGCCCAGAAGAATAGGTACAAGAAACCTAAATCCCCAAGCAAGATTCAGACTTTCAGTTCCAAACTGGGATTAGATTTGGAGTCATAGAGTGTTCAGAACTACCTCAGCCAACCCATGCTTGCTTGCATGTCTACATGCATGTTTCTATTCCAGTGCACAAACTGCATTACTTGCAGAATAAGAAACAAAAAAGCTTCATTTTCCTGGTTACTCTGCTTCATCCCACTTTTCTTTTTCTCCACTGTATTCTCTCCCTCTTCCCTTTCCCTGTTCCTTACTTTTTCCCTTCTTATTTTTTTTTTAATTTATTTTGTAAATTTTTTGTAGAGACCAGGTCTTGCTATGTTGCCCAGGCTGGTCTTGAAATCCTGGCCTCAAGTGATCCTCTTGCCCTAGCCTCCCAAAGTTCTGGGATACAGGTGTGAGCCACTGCACCCGACCCCTTTTTCTTTGTTCTTTTACTCAAAATTATTTACAAAGGGCCTGAGATATGCCAGTCAGTGGGGATTCTCTTGGATTCTGTGCCTTTATGGGAGCCAGCCTGGGAAGGGATCTTGTCCCAGCTGCCAAACATGAATTAGGACATGAGGCTCACTGCTTTGGAAATCCCTTTAATTTTTCTGCTTGTTCCCAGCATCCCTCAATCTTGGGGTTTGGCCTGGAAGGAAAGTCATATCTGCCTGCTTGGCCTTCTCCTCCCTGGCCTCTTCTTCCTGGTTCCCCACCCCACTGCCTCCCTAGGCTGGATGAAACATACTCTCTGTCATTTTCTGAGTGTTTACTACCAATGACTTATAGGAAAACTTGACATTCAGACCTCCAAAGTTTTCTTTTGATAGGTACAGGTAATTTTTGGAGTTTATAAATTGTTGCTCCCAGCAAATACTGTGCTTCAAGATTTTGTCTAAGCTTGCCAAAATGGCCTTAACTGAGCATGGCTTCTCAGTTCTAGCCAGCATCTTCCCTCCACCTGAAACCTATTCATGTAATAATAGTCAGGGAAATCTTTACTATTTGCAAGGATGAAAAATATATACTTCCTCAGCAGAAACCTTACAAGCTAGAAGGGACTGGAGTCTTATCTTTAGTCTCCTTAAACAGAATAAATAACTCTCAGCCAAGAATTTTGTGTCTGGCAAAACTAAGTTTTATGAATGAAGGAGAAATAAAGTCATGTTTAGACAAACAAATGCTGAGAGAATTTGTCACTACCAGACCAGCTTTATAAGAAATGCCAAAACGAGTTCTAAATCTTGAAACAAAAGATTGATATGCACCAAAATACAAACTCTTGAAAGCATAAAATTCACAAGGTCTATAAATAACACAATGAAGAAAACAGAGTGTGTAGGTAACAATTAACATGATGACTGAAACAGTACCTCACATCTTGATATTAATGTTCAACATAAATGGGCTAAATGCTCCACTTAAAAGGTACAGATTGGCAGAATGGATACAAAATCACAAACCGAGTATCTACTATCTTCAAGAGACTCACTTAACACATAAGGACCCATATAAATTCAAGATATAAGGGTGAAAAAAGATATTCCATGCAAATGGAAACAAAAGCAAACAGGAGTAGCTTTTCTTAAATAAAACAGACTTAAAAAAAAAAAAGAAAAAAAAAAAAAAAACACAAAGAAGGTCATTATATAATGAAAAAAGCATCAATCCAACAGGAAGATATTACAATCCTAAATTTATATGTAGCTAACACTGGAGTTCCCAGATTCATAAGACATTTACCACTAGACCTAAGAAAAGAGATAGACAACAACACAATAATAGTGGGGAACTTCAATATTCCACTATCAGCACCAGAGAGATCATTAAGACAGAAAGTCAACAAAGAAACAATAGATGTAAACTACACTCTAGAACAAATAGACCTAATAAATATTTACAGAAGATTACATTCTTCTCATCAGCACCGGGAACATTCTCCAAGACAAACCATATGATAGGCCACAAAACAAGTCTCAGTAAATTTTTATAAATTGAAATTATAGTTTGATGGGAATAGCATTGAGTCTATAAATTACTTTGGGCAGTATGGCCATTTTCAAGATATTGATTCTTCTTATCCATGAAGATGGAATGTTTTTCCATTTGTTTGTGTCCTCTCTTATTTCCTTGAGCAGTGGTTTGTAGTTCTTCTTGAAGAGGTCCTTCACATCCTCTGTTAGCTATATTCCTAGCTATTTTATTCTATTTGTGGTAATTGTTAATGGGAGTTCATCATGATATGGCACTCTGCTTGCCTTTTGTTGGTGTAAAGGAATGCTTGTGATACTTACACTTTTATTTTTGTATCCTGAGACTTTGCTGAAGTTACTTATCAGTTCAAGAAGTTTTTGGGCTGAGGTGATGGAGTTTTCTAAATATATAATCATGTCATCTGCAAACAGAGACAACTTGACTTTCTCTCTTCCTGTTTGAATACTCTTTATATCTTTCTCTTGCCTGATTACCCTGGCCGGAACTTCTAATACTATGTTGAATAGGAATGGTGAGAGAGGGCATCCTTATCTTGTACTGGTTTTCAAAGGGAATGCTTCCAGCTCTTACCCATTCAATATGATATGGCTATGGGTTTGTCATAAATAGCTCTTATTATTTTGAAATATGTTCCATCAATATCTAGTTTATTGAGGGTTTTTAACATGAAGGGATGTTGAATTTTATCAAAGGTCTTTTCTGCATCTATCAAGATAATTATATGGTTTTTATCTTT